AAGCCATCAATATTTGGTGATGAATACGTCAACAGAAAGGGTTACACTAGTATTAATGTGCAGGCTACATGCGACGCAAGTGAAAAAGTCACAAGCATCAGTGCGGAGTGCCGGGCAGCGTTCATGACTCATGTATATGGAGGAGAACCCCATTTAGAAACATCCTGTCGAGATTTGATGGTTCTGTTTGTTTACTGGCTGATTCTGGTTATGGAATTTCGCCATGGCTAATCACACCTTTCAAGCCGGCACATACGGAGGCACAAAGGATCTTTAACTTGCACCACTCACAGGAGCGTGTTGTGATAGAAAGGGTCTTTGAACAAATAAAAAGAAGATTTCCAATTCTAGGAAACTGTGTTAGGGTTAATATAGAGAGGGTACCAAAAGTGATTGTAACTTGTACTATTTTGCACAATATTGCCAAACATCTGAATGATCGGTTCGAATTTGAAGATCAAATAGATGATAACGAAAATATTCATGAAAATGCAAATGCTCAAGATCAGTACGAGAATGCAGCAACCAGATTACGCGGGGAACAAAAAAGACAAGAAATGTTGGAACAGTTGGGTATTTAAACTGATGATAATTGTAAAAATTTGTTTATTTGGCACTAACTTTCATACTGTATTTTATTTATCTAAGGAGTTGCTTATTTCAATTTTTCTAGTACATAAGGTATAGAAAAAGTCTGGCAACAAGGTATTTTAGCTTAAACATGTCATCATATTATTTCAGCCCTTTGCTCAGCAACGCCAACCTTTAAAATTTGATTAGGAAAGAGAGATCAAGTGACACATCATTTTAAAGGGCGTTTATTTCTTTTTCCAATGATATTCAAATTTATACCCTAGACGAAAATAAACTTTCATATGAGGTGCCACACTTTTTTACCCTAAAAAGGGCACAAAAATCGAGGTCTGGTGAATAAATTTGGGTACCATTGGAAAGAGAATTAAACGTCCTTTAAATCGATTTGCCATTTGTTCTCCTTCCCTATTCAAATTTTAAGGGTTGGAATTGCTGAGCAAAGGGATGAAATGATACGATGATGGTTTTTATGTCAAAATGTCCCCCTCGAGGTCAAAATTATCCGAGCGATTTTCCTAAAATCTATTTATTCTACCCGAAAATACCTTTTTGCCACTTTTTCGCTACCTTTTATTTGTTTACTAAGTACTATTATAAAGGGCGTTTTAAAAAAATTCTTGTTAGTTTTAATAAATTTTACTAAACCTTTTGGAGAAAAATATTGATGTATTACAAGATAAGGCACAATCACAGAGGAACTAAAATATTTATTCACAATTGTTCATATAAAATAAAACACCCAGTTTCTTCCTCTGTGGTTTGAGTTGACTCTTCTTTACAGTTCTTACTCATACTTTCCTTTAGCTTCTTTTCTCTCTCTAATTTCATTTTATTTATTTCAAATTGTTGTAATAATACGATTCGTTGAAGTTGTGGTATTGATACATTTTTTGTTCCATCGCATTCATACTGCTTCACAATTTTAGCACTTTTTCTTATTTTCTCAATTTTCGATCTTTTCGTCACTTGCTCTTGTACTTCATCTACCTCTTCATCTTCGTTTTGATTACTTACATTTACATTATCCACAGTTACTCCGACGGTGAGACTACCAGGCACTTTAGAAAACACTGGATTATTCTCATCGCTGATGATGGCAAAAAAATCTTTCTCCCACACTTTTAGTTTTATTGTTTTATTGCCCGTGGCTTTAACATCGGTCTTTTTTTACGATTGTCTTCATATTACTAAGCATTTTAGTCAGCTGTACTTTCGTCACTTGATGCCCCGTTCCTTTTGCATATAGCGCCCTAATTGTTTCCCACGCTTCTTTTTTCTCCTGTACAACTGCCGGTAATTTAGATTTTTCTAAGACAACTTTGTTATCTGCCAATAATTTGTTAAATAAACCCCGATCAAACTTTTTTCCCATAAAACCCTCATCTTCGCTAGAACTTGACATGTCTACTTAGTTTATTTACTAATTAAGACTGACCTAGACAGACGTGATGTGAAGCGGCGATAGAACGAGAAACTTTCATGTCACAACTTGACTTTTGAAGTAAGTGCTCGACTTTTGTCCGTTGAAGCAAATGCTTGACCAAGTTACAGCTTCGGTTTTTCCGGATTCGACTTCGTTTCGGTAAGCAATTACTTCATAGAGGCAACTCATGTTTATTCACTCCGTTTTAAGCAACTGCTAAAACTAACAAGCTATTGCTTCAAGCTATTGCTTGAGTTTATTCACACCACAAAATGTCGACTACTGACTTGTATTACAAAATATATAAAATTGTATTAAAAGTAACCTGCAGAATCGATCAACTTTTTGACTCATCCTGTATAAAATATTTTTATACCTTCTTATAATAAGTCCAACTAAAGTTAATTCAGACCAAATATTAATATTTTCATATTCCCACTGTAAAGTAGAATATACAGCATCAATAATTTTTTTTGAATCACCCTGTATCAAATGTTACTTTTTCTACACAAAGCAATATTATTTGATGTTATCAGAATACTATTACAGCAAAAAATTCTTAATATATTGAGAAAATTACATTTTAATACGTTTTAAAAAATGGCTATTTTTCAACTTCATCACCCTGTATGTTGAAAACTGGCCATAGGATTGAGTTGTGCCCATGGACACTATTTTTCAGGAAGTCGATATCTTCAACATACCAAAAATTCAGGCATATTAACCGGAACCCATTTCTCCATAAGCCGGCTGCCTGGTCCTTTCTGGGTAACCCTAATTTTATGCTCGTCAATGTACACACTACGATTATGTATTACCTTGTTTAGTTTAGGTAAGAACAAAATTAAATAACATTTCAAGTAGACAATTTTTGTAAAGGAAAATCAGGAAAAAATTTAAGAAGTGAAGATTTTTCTTTTATTTTGCCCAAGACAATAATGTTACCATTCCATCGACACAAAGCATAAAGTAGAAATCAAAATTTTGCAGTATTCAAAAGATAATAGATAATTACTTTAGATAAATATCCAAGACATTGTTTTTAAAATATGCTTACCATCAAGTGTGCCTGTTGAACGTATGTTCTCATTCGTTTCTATAATAAATTCGCCAAGAAGTCACGCCTTGTTAAAAGCAAATAGTTTTTTCAGATTTATTGTGAATGTAAGTGCATTTTTTATTTTATTTTTTTATGGAAAGCAAACAATAGCTTCAAATACTTTTCAATTCGTACTTGAAGCCCTTAAAGAACTGCAAATACTTTTCCAATGTATTTAGTGCTCTATTTTTAAAATACTGTACTTGGTAATTGAAGCACTTTTAAAAACGAAAGTATTTCGTAATTGATATTTTAAGTGATTGGTGCTTAATGATTGAAACACGTAGCAAAATCGCTTGACCACGCTCTGAAATAGGCTGCCTCAAGGTTCAGTAATGAGGCCAGTTCTGTTCTGCTTGATATTAGGTGAAATTACTGGAGACAAAATGGGGAAATCCCGATGAATGTAATGTAAGTAGGGGCCGAGATTATTATTATTTTTTGATCTTTTAATTTGAAAATATATCTTTAATTTTTATTCATTTGTACTTTAAATCTGTATTTAATACATATGAAATGTACAGCATATATTTAGTCCAACAGCAATTACAAAAGAAAATTTAAAATGAGAAAAATAATGTGGCAAAATTAAGAGTGGTTTTTCTACAATAACTGCTACCCCGTGCGTTAAAAACAGATAAGTTAAATTAATAAATATATATACAGGGTGAATACTAAGTTGATACTTTTTTTTAACTATGTATAGAAGTCATTAAAATAAACAATTTGTTAATATAACTTTTCAAAAAAAAAATATATATATACAGGGTGGCTCACGCTCAACGGGACGGAGCTTTATGGGAAAATGACCAAAGATATAAAAAATTCGTTTGGGAGGAATACGTAGGTTACAGACGGCAACAATTTAAAATTTGTTAGATGTATACAGGATGTCCCACGTAAGAAAAAAAAAATTAGTTCATTAAAAATTATTCAAACAAGAGTAAACAATTAATTTCTGGGAGACTTTTTTTCCTTAAAAATTCAAATAAATCGAAAACTAATAATAATAGTAATAGGGAACCTTTAGTTAACTGACATTATTTTTGATGTAGTTTTTAATTCTAAAATAAAAAACAGGGTGTTCCATTAAAAATAATATAACTTTGTATATTTTCTCTTATGTGGGACATCCTGTATACATCTAACAAATTTTAAATTGTAGCCGTCTGTAACCTACGTATTCCTCCCAAACGAATTTTTTATATCTTTGGTCGTTTTCCCATAAAGCTCCGTCCCGTTGAGCGTGAGCCACCCTGTATATAATAAGACTCTTACAATAATTTATTCCAAAATGTATCTAATACGGTTCTGTTCGTAGCTAAAACTTTAGTTGAAAAATGTTGATCTCATTTATGCCGTTGCACAATGGTCTGAAACTCCCGAAATGCTGGCCAACACTGTACAATACCGATGCAGCAGCTGCAGTTTGAAGAAATATATCTATTCACAAAGTTTAGACATATTGTTTAACTAAATTTTAACACACAAATCCAGACCCGGATTTAATTTTTTTAATCATGTATCTTTATTTTTTAGTTGTTTATTTTAACGACTTCTATGAAACTTAGGATTTACCCTGTATAAATGTTTTAGTAAAGCAAATATTACACCATTTTGTAGATTAATTTTTTTTTAATTATTAAAAATCAAAAGAAATGTAAATTGACAAAAGTACTAAGGTGAACGCTATCTCCCATGTCCAAATTCAATTCTTTTAACCAATATTTTAGTAATAGACGTGTGTATTTCCCACCAAGTACTTAAAGGTTAAAGCGTTAATTTATGATTAGAGCACGAGGTATCAGTTTCTATAATACATGTCGGTTATTTTCACCCAAACTTCTATGAAAATCCACCCTCGTTAATCAACTGATTACTCACCACAAATCTATTGACTTTAACACGTGGCGTCCTAGTTTTGTCCGAACTCGTCTCCCTCATCGACTCGAAACGTGCCCTTAACCTATAAATCGACAAAATCATTCAATATCTCGGAAATTAACAAAATCACAATGATATTTTCGATGATATACTTACGACTTTGTGGATTCCACTTGTGATTCATCTCCGTATTCTTCTATAATATTGACTGACTGATTTTGCTCCTTTTTGATTTCTTGAGCTTCCCATTTTTCGAATTTGGCTCTCAGGTGTTTCGCCCTTGCCGCTTTTTGTGCCTAATTTTCAGGAAAAATAATTTGATTAAAAAATGAGGGTTAAGGGGGGGTATGTTAAACGGCGAGCATTATATTATCTTCATTCTAGTTATTATACTGGTATCTTATCACTTTTGGCAAAAATTCGTAGACTGACTCAAGAAAAGTTAAACAAGCACGGCACTTTATAAGAAAACGTTAAAACTTACAGAGAAAGACCAATCCAGGCATTTGACAATGTTAATAATAATTAATAATTTTAAACCCAAAAGGGGCCTCAAGAAAGAAATTAGAGTAAATTTGTTCACAATTAGAAAGAACATTTGACATTGCAATTATTTACATTCTTGAATAGAGCAGATTTAATAAATATGTAATTATAATTCAATTTGTTTATTTGATTTTAGTATTAAAACAAAACGACAGCCAAGTGCATAACCCTAATCAGAAAGTACAAACCAAAATCTAAATTTGTAAATTGTTTGGTTATTAGGTATGTTTACTAAGTAATCCACTCTTATTTTCCTTTAATGAACCGTAACGGTCTATTTCCATGCATACCTTAGCTCAAAATTAGTTCGAATTAATCTTAAGGCGATGTTGTCAAGTGTTCCCCTGACATATAAAAGGACCCCGTTAACACACTCAATCGCTGATTAATGACCCCTATTAATGAATGATTTTCTATTAATCAACGATTTTATTATATGCAACCCAACGTACATTGCTCTTATTATACATTTATATTGACAGTTATCTATTGTGTAGGCAACTAAACATACATATACTATCTGTCATTGTATGTCATTACTTAATTTCATAAAATTCAAAAACTCTATGCATAGTTTTGTTGTTTTTCGTTAAATAAATAAAAATTGAAAGTACGACATCTTTATTTTTGAAAAGTACAGTCGACGGAAAAATTCTGTAATGAACTCGTGAATTAAAATGGCGATTAACAATGTCGAACATTAAAGCGCTCGATCTGCTCGCGCGTTAAATTAACTCGATTGTTAATCTCTATTATTAATACGTAAAATAACCATTAACAGTACTCTAAAATTTGTAGAATTAAAAGTTAAATTTTTAAAGGCCTTTAAATTTTAATGTATATTGTTATGTTTATTCAATAAACACCTCTATTATATTGCCCGTTGAACGCCTCTTCCTCAGGGGTAGTTTCAATAAGCAGTCGATTTTTATTTTTATTTTAATTTTATTTTGATTTTATTTTGATTTTATTTTGATTTTATTTTGATTTTATTTTGATTTTATTTTGATTTTATTTTGATTTTATTTTGATTTTATTTTGATTTTATTTTGATTTTATTTTGATTTTATTTTGATTTTATTTTGATTTTATTTTGATTTTATTTTGATTTTATTTAGATTTTATTTTGATTTTATTTTGATTTTATTTTGATTTTATTTTGATTTTATTTTGATTTTATTTTGATTTTATTTTGATTTTATTTTGATTTTATTTTGATTTTATTTTGATTTTATTTTGATTTTATTTTGATTTTATTTTGATTTTATTTTGATTTTATTTTGATTTTATTTTGATTTTATTTTGATTTTATTTTGATTTTATTTTGATTTTATTTTGATTTTATTTTGATTTTATTTTGATTTTATTTTGATTTTATTTTGATTTTATTTTGATTTTATTTTGATTTTATTTTGATTTTATTTTGATTTTATTTTGATTTTATTTTGATTTTATTTTGATTTTATTTTGATTTTATTTTGATTTTATTTTAATTTTATTTTGATTTTATTTTGATTTTATTTTGATTTTATTTGTATTTTATTTTGATATTATTTTGATTTTATTTTGATTTTATTTTGATTTTATTTTGATTTTATTTTGATTTTAATTTTTTGTAGAATCTATTTGGAATTATGCAAAAATGATCGTAGATGAAAAAAAAAACTTTGATAATTATCTGTATTTTGTTATACTGAGAAATAAAAATGCTTAAATATACAAACTCTTATAAAAAATTAACTTATAGTTTAATTTCAACAAAGCATCATAGGAAAAATTGAACAGATATTAAATATCTTGAAGAAAATAACTTACAAACTACCCTACTACACCACTAATCTCAAAACTGTTGTCAAACAAAAATTTACAAAATCCAAAACTTGATTGCTTAGGCTAGACTATAAATTTAGCCTGATATGGTAAAATTATTAAGAACTAAACTATAACTAATATAACTGTTCAAACTTTCAACAAAAAAAAAACTTGTGTTAAATATCTATTATTCCTTTTTGTAACTCATTAATGGCACACATTAAAATGTTCATAAATACCGGTCTGGGTACTCCACTTTCCAGTTTTATCTTCCTTCTTGGACTCCCGGTCTTATCCGTCTACCACCTTTTGCATGTACTCTCCTTTTTTTTATATATATATCTTTATGATCTTATAATCTTTTAACACAGTACCTTAACAGTTTGCTTATTTATTTTTTTTATAATAATAATAATAATAATAATAATAATAATATCTCTTCTAATTTAGAAAACTATTGCTCCTCTAAATTTTCTGACATTTCCTTTTTACATTTCAAAATTGACAACCCCTTTTTTTCCCAAAATCGATCTCCCATCTTTCAAAGCTTGATTCAAAATGAAATGGCTCTACAGGGTGTTCTGCATAATTCCAATATATTCCTTGTGCAAAATATACTTTGTTAATTTCTCATGACAATTTATACCACAACAATATTTACAAGACAGGCATTGTTGTTATTCCTTGGGGTACACTACCAAATAATTATACCTAGAATTATTGTATATTACCTCTATTAAATCTTCAGGTAACTTCTGGATATCGGTTTCCTCATCTTCGTTCTCCTCATCAGATGCGGTTTCTTCATCGCTTTCCGTCTCGGTTCTAGTCGGTTCAGGAGGTGGAGTAAACCTTTTCAATGGTTTAGGACCTGCAGAGGAATCTTTATTAGATTTTTTATTGGTAAATGATTGTAAAATAAAAATGTCTTACCAACTGGTTCTGGGTCCCTAGATAGATTCTCCTCCATCTGCCTGAATTTATTCAACATTTTAGATGCTGTATGCGAGGCTTTTGCAACTTCTGAATCGTCTACGTTGTCTTCTGATCTAACTACTTCTGGATCGCGGTAAATTTCCCTGTCGGGTGTGTCACTCTAGAATTAAAAAATATTTTTTTAACGAAATTTGAAAAACCGAAATAAAAATAATTATTTATTAGTGTAGCTCAGGCTCTGCTAAGTTAAAATTTTTGTTAATACAGAACAACAAAACACGTATTTTTTAGTTGTTGCTTATTTGTAAACCATATTTCCATTTTGTGATAATTTGTTGAGGCAATATTTTCAGTAAACAAGAAAACATATTTTAGCAATTTGATCTTGAGTTAATAGACTTGGATAAAATACACGGATAAATTCATTATCTACGTAATTTACGATTTATCTATTACAATAAGTTTTACATATATTTTAATTTCTTATACTTTTTTCTCTCTCTCGCTCTTATTTCTATATTTTTTAAATCATTGTTGAAACCCTGTATGAAGGTACTCCATTCATTTGTTGCGCGCGGCAGAATGTTTAAAAATGACAAGCATTTTTTTAACAGATACGTCAGTTACTCTTATAACCCACCTTGTATAATGAAAAGGCATCATAAAAATAACATCATAATTAATTATTCAATCCATAGTTTGCATTACCTAATTTAATAAAATAAAATAATGTTTCAATCACATAAAAAACAATGCAAAAGTTATTCTTAGAATCGACTCATCTCGCCAACAAACAAACATGTCCAGAAACAAAAAAGAAGATATTGGCAACGACAGTTTTCACAATATGGGACAAGCTATGGTGACAACTTAATGACGGAGTTACTTTTGCATGATGGTAGTTCGTTCTGCAATTTCGCAATTTCAAAGAAGTCCTCTGGTAGCCCCTAAAATATTGAAAAAGAATACGAACTATTGTGCTGCGATTCCACCATCAATCAGATTGATGGTTGCTCTTCGATATATCGCTACAGGAGATTTGTTTACGAATACAATGTACCTTTAAAAAAATATCGATACAATCACTCTCCTCAATTGTACCTGAAGTATGTGAAGTCATCATTAAAGTTCTCAAAGGATATTGTCAGGTAAAGGTGTTGGGAATATTTAAAATACCAAGGTTGGTGACCCTGTTGGTCATAACGATGACAGTTGACAGTTTGTCACTAGAACCGCTTATTGTAATTTTTTATGCAATGACTTGTTTTTACTTATTAATAAATCCTTTATCTAGAACCTAAACTTTATCTGCAGTTATTTCACCAACAGGTTATGGGCCCAGAATACATTTAAATATTCAGATAAAGTCGGAATTCCCAAAAGAAGATTTTTTGTATTGTTCGAGCTTCGCGATGGCGTCTTAGGCACTTCCCCAGATAGAAAAATTAAAAGGGCGTGAAAATTACGACTCATGGAAGTTTGCAGTAAAAACATATCTACAATATGAAGAATTATGGGATAGTCTTTTAGGCACAGAACAAAATACAAAAAAGGTTACAAAAGCAAGTCAACTATGTACATGTCCAGTCAGCCACTACTGCAAGAGAAACTTTGAATAATTTAGCCAGAGCGTTTGAAGATACAGGGTTGACCCGTAAAGTAGGACTTCTGCGTACACTAATTACCATAAAATTAGAAGATAGTGATTCCGTTGAGGACTTTGTCAACATAATTATAAGCTACCAACCATTAATATGATGGTCAGTAATGAGTGGTTGGGTACTATAATATTAGCAGGTTTAAGGAAGGCACTGATTTTTATGTCTACCCAGAACAGTGTCTTCAGTCTAACATTAAAGAAAATAATCATGATAGTCAAAGTGAACACTCTTCATTAGAAGACACAAGTGTAGATGAAAATTCAGATGAATCTCATGTTGATAAAGAAAATCTTGATGATTATCTTGACCCAGAATATGTACCACTAGAACTAGTTCAGAATGAACCAGAAGTAAATTCAAGAAGGTCCGAAAAAGAGAGGAAACCTAGAAAATTTGATGATTATTTGAGCTACTCAGCCATTTTAGAAAATCCTGTAGATCTCATTTCAGTTGAAGATGCCATGAGCCGTTCAGATTGTAAAAACTGGCGTATTGCTGTGGAAGATGAATATGCAGCACTCATGGAAAATCAAACTTGGGATCTAGTAGGCTCAAATCCAAGAAGAAGACCCTTAAATTGTGAGTGGGTATTTAAAACTAAAAAAGATTCAAGCGGTAATATAATCAAACACAAGGCAAAAGGTTGTGCTCAGAAAAAAGGCATCGATTATCAAGTTACCTATTCACCAGTTGTAAGATACACATCCATTAGATATTTTCTAGCTTTAGCTGCCGAACATGATCTTGATATTAACCAGCTTGATGCCATAACTGCCTTTCTACAAGGTGAACTCAATGAAGATATATACATGGTGCAACCAGAAGGTTTTAATCAATCCAATAAGATATGCAAGCTACGGAAATCTTTATATGGGCTGAAGCAGGCGATTCGTATATGGAATTTATTATTAGATGAATGTTTAAAAAATTATGGTCTTGTCCAATCAAATGCTGATCCATGGATCTATTATAAGGTAACATCCTCACTTATACTGATAATACCCGTTTATGTAGATAACCTAATAATTTTTTCAAATGATACCTCGGCAAAAAATAAAATAAACTAATGACAAAGTTCAAAATGAAAGATTTTGTGAAGCCAGATTTATGCTCGGTATGCAAATAACCCGAGACAGAAAGAATAAAAAAATATGGCTTGAGCAAGATGTTCTTAAGCGCTTTAACATGTGAGACTGCAAACCAGTAGATACTCCTGCTGTACCAGGTGAGAATTTGTCTAAATCCATGCTACCCCAAAAGGCTGATGAAATGAATTCTATGTCGAATGTGCCATACCAAGAAGCAGTGGGCAGTATCTTATTTGCTTCTCAAATCTCCAGACCAGACATTTCATTTGCAGTAACGAATGTTAGTCGCTTCAGTAAAAATCCAGATCATTTACATTGGAGTGCAGTAAAACGTATATTAAGATACCTGAAGGGAACTCATACATCTAGATAAGAATTTAAAGGAAATGTGGATGGTCAGTCCAATATAGTGGGGTATTCGGATGCAGATTGGCCCAATGATGTTGATGATCGTCGTTCTGTCACAGACTATATTTTTCTGAAGAATGGGGTTGCCATTTCATGGGCCACCAAAAGACGAGTAACTGTAGCATTATCAACCACAGTATCCTGATATATGGCGATGTCATCAGCAGCGCAAAAAGCTCTATGGTTAAAAAGGTTAAGTGAAGAAATAGAATCTTACAATCAACCTATCTGTTTATTTGTTGATAATCAAGGTGCCAAAAACTTAGCCTGCAATGGAGCTTATCAAACATATTGACGTCCGGCATCATTTTTTAAGGGAGAAAATTGCACAAAATTTGCTGGAACTGAAGTACATCTCCAGCAACAATCAATTAGCTGATTCCTTGACCGAGGCCGTGGACCGGATGAAGATTAGATTTTGTTCTACTCAACGAGGATTGGTATTTTTAAATAAGGGGGCGGCTGTTAGGAATGTTTAAAATACCAAGGTTGATGACCCTGTTGGTCATAACGATGACAGTTGACACTAGAACCACTTAATGTAATTTTTTATGCAATGTTTTTACTTATTAATAAATCCTTTGTCTAAAACCTAAACTTTACCTGCAGTTATTTCACTAATAAAGGGAAAAGCAAACAAGAAAATTATTTATTCATAATTGCCTTTGGGTAATAGAAATTCACTACATGCTGCCAATAAAGTGGATCGAGATTCTGATGGCATATTTAAATACTGTTTCTACTTTGAAGTTCTCATAAAAAAGTTCCACATTTAATCTTCGAATCAATTTTAAACAAACAATATTTTTTTTTAATAATAAAAAAGAATGAAATTTACTACATGGCCTATGAAAAAATAGGCCCACATAGATGAAGCTAATATTATTTAACGTTCCTACTCGCTGTAGAACATTAAATAAAGCAACGAAAGTTAATCTCACTATATACTGTTTTGATATTACTTGTTAACAACACCATCCAGACCGAGCGATGTTTACCATTTCAGATTGAAAACATGCATACATGGCAACAAGCAACAAAATCCTTTGATGTCTTGCCGCCCAACATCGGCACTATGTTGCCGAGTATCTGTCAACTTGTTGAGAGTTGATGGGATACATGTTGGCAACAGTGTTCTGGAGTAGGTATAGTACCAAGCCAAAGACAAGAATCTCACTGAGCTTAGGAAAACATGTGACAGTATTCCAGGCAGAAATAGCAGCAATACTTCATTGCGCAAAAGAGGTATTAAGACGTAAATGGAAAAACCATTGCCATATACTCAGACAGTCAAGCGACGTTAAAAGCACTCAGTTCCATGCAGGTACACTCAAAGCTTGTGTTTGTAAGCCGTAACAGAGCTAACAAAACAGATTAACCTTAGCCTGGATACCAGAGACCATAGAGGACATAAGAGCAATGAAGAGGCTGATTTACTAGCCCGAGAAGGCGCCTCAAATGCTCTTATTGGCCCAATACCTTTCTGTGGTGTAATTAAAACAACTATCAAAACATGCACAAAGCAGTGGATGTTTAAAAAATCTCAGGAGTGGTGGAAAAACTCACCAGGACAGAGACAGGCCTAAGAGTTCTTAAAAGGACCATCGCCAAAACTCACCTTAATAGGAAAAATACTAAAGTACTAGTAGGTTTATTAACAGGGCATTGTAGGCTTAACAAACATATGTAAGTATAATATCGGTCTGACAGAAGACACCTTGTGCCGAGTCTGTCAGGAAGAGGAGGAAACGGCAGAACACGTATTGTGCTACTGCGAAGGTCTAGCAAGACTGAGATTCCTTACACTTGGAGAAGAAAAACCAAAGACAACTAGCTATACCGGAGAACTACTTCCCGGTCTATGGAGTCTACTACAAAAGACCGAAATAGACAAGGTACTCTAAACAACGATTAAAGGATATCCACAATAGATCTGAAAAGGTCGAGGTGGGGGAGGCCACATGGCCTACAGTCCTAATTAAATCTAAATCTAACAGTGTTGACAACATGTATCCTACGATTGTTGTCCGGTCTCTACTTAGCTTAAGGTAAGAAAGCTTATTGATTTACACAAAAATTAATAAAATGGGAGAAAAGAGGGGTTGAAATAATAAAAAAAAAATTAGAAACGAAAAAATATCAACTTGAAATTTTTAGCAAAAGTCAAGCTCTATAAGGGAACAAAAGCCTATTGATATTAGAAAAATCTGAATAAAATTGGTGGTAAGGGGGAGGGGTGAAATAAAAAAAAAAATAGAAATTAAAAATCAAAAGTGATATCAACATGAAATTTTTAGTAAAAATCAATTTCTATAAGGGAATGTGGCCTATTGATTCTGAAAAAAATCTGAATAAAAATGGTGGATAAGGGGGGGTTGAAATATTGAAAAAAATCTTAAATCAGAAAACAAGAAACGATATTAAATTGAAATCTTCAGGAAAATCAAGCTTTAAGGGGATGAAGCCTATTGATTCTGATAAAAATGTGAATGGATGGAAATGGGGGTTAAGGGGAATATGTTAAACTGTGAAGAGTATAATATAGAATATCAAGCATTATACAGGGTGGCCACTTTTTTAATGGGATTGTAATAATAATTTCTAAACCATACTAGTTAGAAAGTTGGTTAAATGGAGAGAAAGTTGCCTATCTCGAAGTATAATCTAGCGGTGGAAACTAATCGAAAATAGCAGGCCCGGTTCTTGAGATATTTCGATAAAAGAAAATTCGATCTTTTCGGTTTTTTGGTTATCGTTCATTTATTTTTAGAACTACCAAAAAATATTTTAAAGGTTTTTTATATGATAGTAAATTTTCTTTTATTTGAAGTTTTCATATTTAGCATTCAACGTTTCGTATTCTCCGGACCACCCTCAACTTATTTTTTTTAAATATGGACCTGGATATTTTATAACATTATTTGAAATAATTTTGCATCTTGCATCCAGCGGTGTATTACACAATGGCATTCAATGACGGTTTTTGGGTAATATGGACCGTAATCCAAATTTTATTAAATTTACTCCTGGTTTCAGCCATCTTTAGTTGAATCGACATAATGTCATGCCTCTAGATAAAAAATAAAGTCAATTCTTACAACATTTATGTAATTCTCCGAAAATTAAACAATTCATCAACAACAATAGTAATGTAGAAATTTTAAAACGCAATTACTGATAATAACAAGAAGAAATTCAGTTTTTGAAAGTCATAATCAAATTATTTGAAAAAATTGTTTATAATGTCCGCCAACATCTTCAATACACTTGGCGATTCTGATATTCAGATTTCTTATGCTATTGCTTATTTCTTCTTCTTGGATTCTTCCATTTATTTTTTCCTAATTAATCACTTTATGTTCGAAATATTATACACTGATTATAAAATCAATACAGATCCGTACCAATAAAAGTTGGATTACGGTCCATATTACCCAAAAACCGTTATTGAATGCCACCGCTGGATGCAGGATGAAAAGTTATTTCAAATAGTGTTATAAAATATCCAGGTCCATATTTAAAAAAAATAAGTTGAGGGTGGTCCGGAGAGTACGAAACGTTTGATGCAAAATATGTAAAAGTCAAATCAAAGAAAATTTACTATCAAATAAAAAACTTTAAAAAGATTTTTTAGTAGTTCTGAAAATAAATGAACGATAACCAAAAAACCGAAAAGATCGAATTTCTTTTTATCGAAATATCTCAAGAACCGGGCCTGCTATTTTCGATTAATTTTCACCGCTACAGTAGGCTTTGAGATACGCAACTTTTTCTTCATTTAACCGACTTTCTATCTAGTATGGTTTGGGAATTACTAATACAATCCCATTAAAAAAGTGGCCACCCTGTATATCTTCATTCTAGTTTTAATAATCAGTTAAACTCTCTAAACGTCGTTGCCACGCATTTTTGACAGATGTATACATTTAAAAAACGAATATGTTAAACTTGCAAAACATAAAGATCAAAAACTTGTTATTATTAAACTGAAAAAAAAAAACACATTCCACTCTTGACAACCATGCTGTAGCTATTAACCTTGACTTGTGTCGGATCCCTAGGTGGCGTAATCCTAAACTGCCTTCTCTCCTTTTCGGGTTCTTTGTAAGTTTCAAAAAACTTAAAGCGTTGTTGAATATCTGCGGTCTTGACGTCGATTACTTCTTCGGCTATTTCTGACGACCTTACCACGTCTTCGGGTAGTTGTTTTGCCAAATAGGCCTATATTATATCGATTCATGAATAACAATTTTTCTACTAGTATTTTTAAAATTAATTTTACCAAGTACCTAGACAGTATTTTTTATGAATATATAGGGTGGTGTTACATTCGCGTGTCAAAGTTCGATATATCTATTCTATAATATATAAATTGAACTTTGACCTACTTAATGCTTCACCCTGTATATTATACGAGTCTGAAATTTGTATTAAAATAACATTTTGTACAATTTTAAAATGAAAAAAAAAAAGGAAACTTTTTTCTTTTGTGTTGAAATAGTTTTTGCAAAATACAAAATTATTAAGAAAACAAAAACTTTATTATTATTGGACCATCTTCATAGACTTAGAAGATTTGCAGACCCATATTTACACACAAAAATGCATATTTTCTACTCCCTCAAATTTAACGAAGAATTAAAAACACACTATACACAAAAAAGTTTACTTTGTCAATATGATGCACTTCCAGAAGAAATGTTCTTACCTCTCTAGCCTTTTTTACATCGAGTTTTGGTACAGCAACCGGGGAGATACTTTGTGGTTGTTTGGCAGCGTTTGCATCTAATTCGAGAAACAGAGATCTTGAATTCTTACTGATTTCTAGAAAAGAAAAAAGGTTCTTGCTAAAAAAGGAACAAAACATTTTCGTTTGAATTAAAACAATTAAAAAGTATAATGGATGTTAAGTCTGGAGACTTCCGAGTTGTACCATACTTAATCCGGTAGCATAAAAGGTTGCCCATTTTTGACCACCGAGTTATACCAGGTATATAGTAAAATATATGAGAATTATATTAAATAAAAAAAATAAAAAAATTACCTAACCTGTGCGGCTTGGAACTATTGCGGGTGGCTTCAAAAAGTAAAAAACTTAAATTACATTTTTCTCTAGAAATTCGGTGGTACAACTAGACGGTAGGGTTATACCTACAACTCGACGGTCCTGTTAAATCTAATGTAGAAATGTTTAAGCCGCGACTACCCAATGACAAACAACTAATAGACCAATGTCATTTACAAAAGGCGAGTTACAAGAATTACGTTGTTATCCAACTTAGTTGCAAAATTATTACAGGAGAATCTACAAATAGTATTTTTAATACAAATCCCGTTGTACATCATCAAAGTACTACCAACTAATTCAAATGTCCCTAATTAAGCTAATAATCCGAAAATGTCACGAATATTTACAAGCATTCATTTACAAAAAAAAATCATGTTCCAAACTTTCAAAAAAGTTGCAAATCTGGTATAATGTTGAAAATAATACAAGATATGAGGGGTTCACAGCAAAAGTGGTGTAAGTCAAAAATTTGAAAAATGCTGATAATACAGAAAACTACTCTCTAAAATTCGATTTTTTTCACTGTCAAAGTGGTGTAAGTCAGATGTTCATAAAAAAAGCAATAGAGGGCGTAACTATGTTTATGCTTTGAAAAATAAAAACCATCATTCGGAGCAAAACTGGTGTAAGTCAAATTTCTAACCTTATTTTGCGTTGACGACGCAACGTTGACGTGTATTTTATGAAGTTTGAAGTAAGTTTAAGTAGTTTTCCGGAGTCTTTTGAGTAAAACTTGTATACAAATGGATACAGGCGAATATTATGAGGATGATCATGTTAGTACTGCAAGTTCATCGAGTTTTGAGCCCTCAAACTCGGGTAAATATGTGTTTTTTTTTTATTTTGTTAAGCTATTAATGTTAGCTTTTTTTGAAATATTGTCTTATATTGTAGAATGAGAGCGGAGTGTAATAATGAAGAGAAAGTAGAAGAAAATATTCAGGTAGAAGCTCATTCGCCAACCATTCGTGGAAGAAAAAGAGTAAGAAATGAAAATTCTTGGAAGAGAAACGTTAGAAAACGTTGTCGAAATGAAGGTAAACAATACTTATCTTCAAATGGGCATAATGCACCAGCAAAAAGCTTCCAGAATATCAACTGTGAATGTAAGAAAATGTGTTATAATCATGTAAATGAAAATGAGAGAAAAAAGGGGCATGATTCGTTCTGGAAATTGGGTGAATTTTCAAAACAAAATACATTTATCCATGGGCTCATAAAATCTGAAAATATTATTAAACAGAAGCGTCCTCGTGATAATTCTAATATAGCTTGAAAATTAACAATGTTAATACACCCATATGTACACTCCTTTTTACCCGACGACGTTGATTTTGGAGCAATAGAAAAAGCCAGTAGAAAACACTCACATATATACATGGCCCAGAAGATTGGATAGAGATTGTAAAGAAGGCAAAACGTATAAGGCCCTTTCAAGTATTTCAAATGAAAAGAACTGAATTTTTCTCCACAAAGAGTCTTGAGGACTCTATAACATAAACCGCAAAAAGAATGTGACAGGAGATACTTTTAGCTGGCTCAAAATCAGGTGGTTTAGATTTGAACGTGGTTCACCGTTCCAATTTAAGTATAAAGAAACTCTCAACGAATTGATAGATTTCAATATAGTTTGCTTATCAAAAGCTGGAAAAGGAAAAAAACTTGTGTCACTATCAGAAAATCAGCATGAGCATTTTATATCTCCAAAGGCGTTTTGTTACACAACAGAAAAAGCGCGATATGCTGGACCTATTACCATACATTCCCCCTATTCGACATGCTTATTTTAAAAATCTTCCGACAGAAATTAGGACTCGTCAGTCACAAACAGCAGGGCATGAAATCTCCTCAGATAAAGACGAATTGTTTTTCGAATAGAATTTTTTTTAGTTCATTACAAAATAATGTGCTTTGTATTCATATTATTTCAATAAAGAATATAAAACGTTCTACTTTAATTATTTCACCTGAAATTCAGTGCACAAATGGTGTAAGTCAATATATTTTTAGTTTTTTGTAATTATTTCACCAATAGGATAAAATAACTATGTAATTTATAATAAACAACACAATACCTATTGTAAACATTGAAAAAAAAAACAAATGTTTCTTTCCACTTTTTATTTAAAACTTAAAATAAACTTTAAAGCCTGATTACACAAAACAATATTTTTTGACTTGCACCACTATTGCTCTGAACTCCTCATATATTGCTTCAAGTTTGTAGCACTTTTGCAATTTTTTTTCTCAACGTTATAAACAAAAGCGCCATTTTGGTATAAATTAACTAGTTCCGGACCTTGGAAATGGTTGCAAATTTTAACTTAGTGTTATTTAAATTAGCCGATTATTATTGCAAAGTTTGAAAACGTTTGTAATTAAAGTGAAATGTTCAAAATATGTCTTTACTGACTGGCCTAAAGTGCGCCAACAACTTTCAAGCTACGTATTGGAATCAAGTTTTAATGTGAAAGAATAACATTTTAAGTATTCTTTGTATTTACTTGCCCAAGTGCCCACCAAACCAAGTTGGGTTATATATCTAAATATACAGCTAAAGTTTGCGCCAATATTTGAAACCGGGACATTTCACTTGCGGAGCAAAAGGGTGTCGGGACAGATGCGCCCTCGTACATTTGATCCCTCGATACATTTGAGCCCCTGTCTTAATTTTTCGAATAATGATAAAATTTAAGTGAGACAGTTGCGACCCTACCCCTATTAATCCCAAACAGAAGTCGAATAATGAAAGTAGATTTTTTGGTTTACTAATATATACAGGGTGTTTCAGAGTTAAAAGTACATACGTTTACTTTAAGTGTAAGACAATTGGATGATTCGAAGTCACCCATTAATAATGGGTCTATCACATCTCATTACCTAGAATGAATTTATTAATTTCGCCTGGATTTTTATTTCATCCTGTCTTTATAATACTTTTTAAAAAGAATAAATAGAATAAATAAATTTAAAAAAAATAGCCATTTTACATCATTACCTTAACTGCAATTGAGCCATTGTTTCTATAGTTAAGCATGATTGCTATTTACTGTCAAATAGGTCAGATAGAAATATTTCTGTTTGAAATAAAGTAAAAAGTAATTGTTTCTAAAATAAAAACAAGGTTGCTAGGCAACACATTACAGTATCTGATACTGTTATTTTCCATTTCCCGGAAGCAAATGAGTAATATATTTATTAGTAATACTGATATTTAATTGTGAAAAAGCAAAAAATATCTTTAAAATAAACTATAAGTCGATTTGCTGGACAGAATGAAATAAAAATTTTTGTTTGGTTTACTGACATTATATAATTTCCCTTTACACTTTTTACAGGCTGAGGACTGTCGACATAGATATGCCGGCGTGTTTAAAAGATATATCCAGTGGATATTGTCAGTTTTTTATTTATTTATTTTTTTTTAGTATTTTATTTTTTTGTTTTTTTTATTTTTTTTGTTTTTTTTGTTTTTTTTATTTTTTCTTTGTTTTTTTTTGTTTATTTTTTTGTAATGTTATATACATATTTACATTTTTTCAAGTATTGAACGGTTACTCTAGGTTTTGTACAAAGGCAAGAGTTTTCAAACATTTTAAAAGATCATTTTTTTCCGCATACTCGTTCATTATCTTATCAATGCGCTCATCTAATTGAATGTACGTCTTTTTTCTTCGTTTTCCCTCTAAATTTAATATTTTCCTTTTCGATAATAAATCCGAATATATGGACTCGCCTTTTAGGCACTTAATTAACTGAATAATATGTGGGTGAGAGTTTTTTATGGCCATATTTGATGTGTGATTCCAGCCTTCGACGGAGATGTTTGTTCGATGCTTTTGACCAAAGACGTTCCACATATCAATGTGTAGGGCTGAATGTTCCATCCATTGTTCAATGAAATAATCTCGAAATTGCTGCATTTTTGAACTAGTAGGGGCACCTTCCATAATGCTCAACCAATCATTTTCTACTTCCATGGGAGGAATATATGCTAATGCTGCACACATACGTATAGGTATGTAACCTGACTTCCGCATTTTGTTTATATTCTTCGATCAGTCCCAACTCTTGTACTTTCTTTCCTCCATAAGCACTGATTGAAATGGAAGTTGCAATTATTTCAAAATCAATTTTCGAGAAATTTTTCCAATTACTATGGGATAAGAAATATACGGGGTGGCTCGTCTGAGATGGAACACCCTGTATATGTTTTCTTCTGCTTGTTTTGCAATAGTGCAAACATTACAGGAACTATGTTTCAAATATGTAATATGTAGTCAAAAGCATCGAACAAACAACTCCGTCGAAGGCTGGAATCACAGATTAAATATGGCCTTAAAAAACTCTCACCCACATATTATTCAGTTAATTAAGTGCCTAAATGCGAGGCCATATATTTATTATCGAAAAGGAAAATATTAAATTTAGAGGGAAAACGAAGAAAAAAGACGTGCATTCAATTAGATGAGCGCATTGATAAGATAATAAACGAGTATTCGGAAACAAATGATCTTCTAAAATGTTTGAAAACTCTTGCCTTTGTACAAAAGCTGGAGTAACCGTTCAATACTTGAAAAAATATAAATATGTATATAACATTCCAAAAAAATAAAAAAAAAAACAAAAAACCAAAAAAAAACAAAAAACCAAAAAACAAAAAAAAACAAAAAATAAAAAAAACAAACAAAAAATAAAAAAAAACAAAAAAAAAATATAAATAAATAAAAAACTGACAATATCCACTGGATATATCTTTTAAACACGCCGGCATATCTATGTCGACAGTCCTCAGCCTGTAAAAAGTGTGAAGGGAAGTTATAAAACATTTTTTTTTCATTCTGTCCAGCAAATAGACTTATAGTTTCTTTTAAAGATATTTTTTTCACAATAAAATATCAGTATTACTAATAAATATATTACTAATTTGCTTCCGGGAAATGGATTATAACAGTATCTGATACTGTAATGTGTTGCCTAGCAACCTTGTTTTTATTTTAGAAACAATTACTTTTTTCTTTATTTCAAAAAGAAATATTTCTATCTTACCTATTTAACAGTAAATAGCAGTCATGCTAAACTATGGAAACATTTGGCGATTTCGAATCATCCAAGTGTCTTACACTTACAGTTAACGTATGTACTTTTAACTCTGAAACACCCTGTATATATCAGTAAAACAAAAATTCTACTTTTATTATTCGACTTCTGTTTGGGATTAATAGGAGCAGGGTTGCAACTGTCTCACTTAAATTTTATCATTATTCTAAAAATCAAGACAGCGGCTCAAATGTATCGAGGACGCAAATGTACGGGGGAGCATCTGTCCCGGATTCAGCAAACGATATCGCTGCACTGTGGCACTCGCAAAATAAATGACAACTAAACAATTTGACAGAATTTCGCAATCTCTAGATAGATGCCACAGCTTGATGTCGTAAAAAGTCAATATTTCTCCTGTAAAATTAACAAAAATTCTAACATATCAAGCTGTCGCACTATCTACAGAAATAATGATAAGAACGGTATATTTAGTGTTAATAATCCCATCTACTTTTTTTTTGAAATAAAAAATACTTTTATTTAACATCAGAATTTTTATATTAGGACGTCTTCCCTTCCTCTTTCTGGTGCGCTAGAGGAGTATGGGCGTCGTCTTTACTCCCAATCGCGAAAAAATGCAGTCTGTTTATTGCTGATAATATCTTAGTCTTATCTTACGATATTATATACTAATTTTGACTGTTTGCCAACGGTGATAATTGATATGCATAATGAGTTTTGTCTTAAGTTAATTGTAGTTAGTCTCCTTGAAAAAGGCTAAGAAAAAACAGGGTTGTCACTGACGAACATGTCAATGTGCTTATATAATTTGTGTAGTCATGTAAAAGCTCGTGATCTGAACAACCGATGGGTCGTCGGGATAGAGAACAAGAGTCTTATTCTCTGCCTCACCGTGCAGTCCCCCATTCAGTCTTAACAGTATGAGTGCTTTGTGAAGACATCCATGCTTTCTATGAGCACTATTCCCCTCATTTATGTTCATGATGTCTTATCGGGCTTTCTGTAGAAGCTTTCTGAACTCTTCAAAATGTAGTCTTTTGTAGTAGACATGGATGTCACTGATTGGCGTAACGGTCATACCCTAAGGCAAACCTTAAACACCTGTTTTGTACTATTTGCATCTTTTTGAAGTGATTGTTGGCCATCGAATAGAAAACTGGATATCCATTCTTAAGATCAGCCTAATGATCTTTTTAAAAATTAATATTTTATTTTTCCTCGAAACTTTGTTGTTCATACTTAGCATCACGTGTGTCTTTTTTTTCACCGGTTTGTTGGAATCGTTGTTTCACCGATGCGGCCTTGAACGCCTTGTGTTGGATTCGATTTATTTATGGTTGACCGTTGAAATAAATAACAGTTGACATTTTGGATTAAAATTTGTTTATAATTTTATTTAAATGTACCTATATACTTTGAATGTATATATTTTTAAAAGCTAATTTTTTCGATTTTTCCCACAATGAAACAATTAATTAATTGACTCCTTAATTCTGATTAATTCCCGCAATCCAGCTGTCAGTTGTCACATCTAATCTGAAAAACCATACAATTGAAATGATGGAATGGTGTTGCATCGATTGAAGCAACGTTGGATAAAAAGACAGCGCTGTTAGTTCATCACTGATAGATTGATGAAAAAAAAGACAGGTAGATACCGCACCGATTCCAACGTTGCTGCAACAGTTGGATAAAAAGACACACGTATAGGGTACGAAGTTCTGACAGCTGAGTTCGCTTTGACGATACGATCTTGGGTGTGTTTACGGAACGTTAATCCTGTATCTAGGTATACCACCAGGTATTTAACTGCTGCCTTAGTGGCTACCCTCTGTCCTTATATGCTTGACTCCATAATTATGCCTTCTGGGCTGGAACTTTATGTCATGTAGAATTCTACTTATCGCTTTCTACAATGGAATCGATTACTTTATTTTGTGATAAATACGTTATCAACCGCACGGGAAATATCGCAATGTGGTTTCTTATGAAACTAGTTATCCTGTAGTAAGTATATACTCGTTGGTTTTCCGCTATGTTACACAGAGTGCCACAAAAGAATCTTTTGTAGAAAGCGATAAGTAGAATTCTACATGACACAGAGTTCCAGCCCTGTTCTTCTTTTTGTGAGCATTAAGCTTTCTGTTTTGTTTGTGTTTAAGTACATTTTGATACTATCTAGATAAGGGAGCAGCATTCTGTTTATATGAATGTCCAGTCTTCTATTCGTTATCTCTGCAGATGATAAGGTTTTCTACACACAGGTGTCATTCGTGTACAGTGCCGTCTGTATACCGGCGACAGTACCGAACCTTGAGGTACTCTCGCTATCGCATTGTATGGTCCTGTTAGAGTTTTGTTTATTTTAACGTAGAATGTTTTGTCCTGCAGGTATGAGTGAATAGTTTTTACAATGCAAATAGGATAATCATTTATAAACCTTTTATATAGTAGCCCACAGGTCCAAACCGTGTCAAAGGCTTTTTATATGTTTAGTGCTACCAATACGGTCTGTTTTTTGTCATTATACGCCTCTTTTGCTTGATGAGCGATTCTTACTATCTTGAGCAACCGTAGTGTGCCCTTCGCGAAACCCGTATTGTTCCTGCAGGATAATATGTTTGTCTCGTTCTGTCTTTTAGTCTATTTAATATTATGGTCTCGATTGTTTTTGTTTTCAGTAGGAAGATAGGACGGTAACTCTCAATATGTTTCGCGATTTTCGCTGGCTTACGAATAAGTATAATATTCGCTACCTTGAGTGTTGCTAGATAGTACTGCAATTTCAATAGAGCGTTTATTATTTTACGAAGTTGTACGAATCCTTTCTTACTTATATTTTTCAACATTAAACCGTTAATTTGGTCAGTCCCGAGGCTTTACGATTACGGATCTTCATAATGGCTTCCCTTACCTCTTTAGGGAAGGTAAGTTTGATGTTGGGTACATTCTGAAGTTCCATGTTGCCTATGTCATTCATTCACTATGTCTTTTATGAGTTGTTGTTTCGCGTTATTTTGTAGATTATTATGGAATTTTTTTGCGAAATATTTCCCATATGCTTCCCCTTTCTGGACTTCAATATTGTACGTGTCGTTATTGTCCTCTAGTGTGGGGAGCTGCGTAAACCGTTTCTTAAACGATTTAGCAACTCTCCACAAAGAGTTGTCCTTGGTTTCAGGTCTCCTAATATAATTTCCCAGTTTTTGTTCCCAAGTTCTTTAATTGCCTTAGAGATGCCCAATAGCCTGATTCTGTCCTCCCCCGTTCTGTTAATTTGCCACCTTTTTCTGATACGATTTTTATTGTTGATCATTTCCTGAATTTCTTCATGGATTATTTCTTGATGGGATCTTACGTACCTCAGGACTGTTTAACCATCTCTTGCCGCAATAATGGCTCTGGTCAAGTTCTCAATTTCTGTCTCAAGTTCCGTCCGTGTGTTAATTTTATTGTTGATTTTACAGTACTGGTCGAGTATATTTCTATACTCTTTCCAGTTTGTCGTTTTAAAGCCATAATGTGTACACTCCTTTGTCTTTTTATGTTATGCGTGGTTCCGATTTCAAGATAAACTGGGTCATGATCTAAATTTAATGTGCTAATAGTCCTGATGTTAAGTAAGTTGGCAATGTTTTTCGTTAGCGCAATGTCCAGTATGCTGGGTGTCTGTTCATTAAAGGGGAAGCATGTTGGCTCTTCCTTATAGTGTACCACTATGTCATTTTTTACAACGTATTGATGTAGAAGTTTCCCGTTTACATTAAAGCGTCCCATTCAAAATGCTTACAGTTCAGATCCCACATTACTATAACCCTGTTACCGGCAGCCATTATGTTGTGAAAATCTACTGTTCTAATGAAAAAATAAGATTACATTTTTCTTACCGCTTTGAAATACTTCATTGTCATCCTCTTCGTCATTTCTCTGTTCTCTTTCGGTTAACATGTCTCCCTTTTCAAATCTTTCTTTAAGGGATTTAGTATCACAGGATTCAATTTTTTCTGATTTGACAATGTTTGTGCTGGACTCGGATTGCATTACGGCTTGCTGGTAAGCTTCCTTCATCTTACCTTGCTTACCCTAAAATAAGAAGAAATTAATAGGAAGATGAAACCACAAAAACTAGTCATTTCAATATTTGAATTCCTTTTACTATATTTACCAAAAATAACTTATTTCTAATGGATTGGATCTCCTGCTTCCTCTCCTCTCTCCTTTCGTCTTTAGAGTTCTGTTCTCCGTGTTCCCACTTATTTTTTACTTCATTCAAGTTGGTAAAGTGGAAAGGTTTTTCTTTTTGGACTTTCTTCGCTCTGAAGAGAGTAGGATCTTCGCCATCAGGTACTTCTTCTTCCTCCTCTTCCTCTTCAGAGGAAGTTTCCTCGATGGGGATGCCGTTTAGAGCTTCGTCGCTGACTCCTACGTCCATGCCTTTGGCTTGAAATCTAAAAATCGAATAAAACTAATCAATAACTCGGTACTAGCGCGTAGCCTCAATTATTCGATATCAAATAGACGAAATGGTTCATTTGTTGAAATTGTTTACGCATTCTACGAATTTTTAAAAGATTATTTGATGACCAAAATAATTTTGAAGACATCTACGTCAAACAATACATTTTTATGAGATAAATGAAACACGAATACATAGCACAATAGTGTTATGTGAGCCATTTCATTATTCATTCATGCTCTAATCATCCAAGTACCTCTTTGTCTTATTTGGCCTTTGAGGCTCAACTTGTCCGATTATTATACATAATTAAACCCCTTAAAACCAAACATGTGACGACTATGGCGGAGGTGCTTTTGATTAATGTTCGAGAAAGAACGGGATAATGTTTCTAGAGTAGTTGGTGAATATTCTGGCACATTCGCCAATACTTTAAATTTGTATATAAATACTGATGGAGGATGAACAAAGTTAGTTATTATATGGACAGTGAAGATAAATAGTAAACAATAGTGTTATAAAATAAATAAGTGTTTAAACAAATTATTAATAAATAAACTGTTGTTTAAAATAAACAAACATCACATTTTTAATAAAATAATTCGGCGACCGGTTTCGGTTTTATAGCCATTTCCAAGTCTGTAAATTACAAAAAATTGCTTTTAAAATGCAGAGGTGTTAAAATTAAATCTATTAAACAAGGAATTACTGAAATTTTACGGTGGTAGGAATTAAGACAAATAAAAATTTAAAAAACGCTAGTAACTAAAATTGAGAACAGCTCATTAAGCATCTGTGAAGCGGAGAAAGAACCGGAGATTATAAAAAGTCAATTGTTGTGGTTTCAGAAGTGAGTAGTGAAGGAATTACAGTAAAAATAAATAAAATGTCAGCAACAGAGGGTTAGTTGAATGCGGATATAACCCATACTCAACGTAAGTCAAGTCTAGGTAGGCCAAAGATAAATAATCAGACTTGTAGTCGAGGTTTTTAGATAATCATGGTAACAAACATGTACCATATCTGCACAAAAATAGATAAGATGTTAGGAAATATTCGAAAACTTTCTCCGAGTTATCATTTTTATTTGAAAAAAACTTTCTTACATACCATTCAAAAAATGTGGTTTATGCCAATTCATAATATTTTAGGCCTTTAAAAACACATTAATAAAAATAAGATTGAAAAATCATCATTAAAAATACATTAAGAAAACTATGGCTTTGATTATTCATCAAAATACGTACCTATTCTAATTTTTCAGAATATTCTTCGGTTAATGTTCAAACGCAAAAATTAACATAATAACATTTACAATTTGTGCTTTTATGCTTTTATTTCCGAAAGAGCAATTTACCATATCTTATCGTATTGTCAATACTGTAAATGATTGCTAAAGTGAAATTAAATAGATTAGGAAAAACCATCGAATGAGGCAATATGTAATTTGATAAACTGATGTTAATCATTAGAAAATCAAGTTTCAAAATATTTATAATGAGATAATAAACAAATTATTATTAGAAATTAATTCACTTTTGTGCTGTTTGTAAAATGCAACCACAGCTCATCTGTCAAATTTGATGGTAGAGAGGATCAATATTTAATATAATGGACCAAATTGTACTTAGGTTTTTTGTATGTTATTTTTTAAATACTATGATTTTGTCATCTTTTTTGTAAATATATTTGCTTATAACTTTTCCTCGGAAAAGTTTAAGGTGTTCAGCACCCTCAAAAACATTATACAGTGTGTGCTATAAAGTTGGATTCATATGGGATTTTTTTTAATAATACGATTGGAAAAAAACGTCTTAGGGCAATCACTTCTGCTTATTTAAAAACTTAAAATAGCCCATATCACATTAGGAATCTGTCAAAATGGCATTTAAAAAAAATATTATTTTTGAACGATTGTTTAAAGGGTTAAAAGTACCAACTATTTTTACATGGACAGGCTTAACAGGAAAATTAGACTACATATTTTTAAAGAAATAGTTATTAAAAACTTGGGCTAGCAATGTGAATATCCTCTACATGATTTAACCTTAGTAACGCTAATGCTTTACAAACTTGAAAATTCAAGTCTTAAATACTTATCATTGTCTTTTGGTTCTACCTTCAAAACCAAATCGTTTCTCGTTTTTTTTTTTATGTCACGAGTTTATCCTTGGAACCTCAATCCCTAGAAGGTTGGATCCACCAATTTAACGTCTCTCGAATTATACTTAAGTGAAAAAAAGAATAAATTGTCTGATTCGGGGGTTTTCGGATTTTTCCTAGTAAAAGGTTTTAAAAAGGAGTCTTTACAAATAGACCAACCTTTTTTATATCTCGAAAATTAACTAATTATTTTTCAATAATTTGTGCTTCTGTTGCACTGAGCCAAATTGATTTCAAATATATTTCGGTGATGATTTCGACCATGATTTTCGTGATGATTCCGGAAATTTCGAGAGAATTTGTAGTAATTTCGAGTGAAAACGTACCTTTATTTTGGGAGTGGTTTACCCCTCGCATTGAACATTACTAAAACTATGTTTTTTGCAATCATTGCATTCACTTCCAAATGATTCACTCCTTATTATAGTTGGCCAGAACGGAAAGAATAAATTAAAGATAACTTTTATCAAAACAAGAATTAATTAAATGAAAGTATAACATGAACTCAAAATTATTTGTGAATGTATATGTAATTTAGAACAAACGTATCTCTAAATAATTATTCATTGTAAGACATAAATTTGCGAGTTGTATTTATTTAATTTGAATAATTATACTGAGTGAATAAAAAATATATTCTAGAGCAGGGAATATCGCGATGACTGAATTGCCATTTAAAGAAGAATAATTATTGTAAGCTTCGAAATAAGTGATTTATTATACAGTGCGGTCCAAGGAAAAGTATCCACCCCCATTTTCTTGGATCCCTCAGATTTAAAGAAGAAATGCGTCGATTTTTGTTTGGAGTGGGACACATTTTTTTTCCTAATTGCAACATTGACACTTTAACCCTTGAGCAATGGGGTGAACAACACCTACAATTTAGATAGGGAAAGTACTAAGTGTGGCACATTTTTGAAAAGGTAATTTTATAAAAAAATCAGTAATACCAATATTGTTGTGTCAAATTTCGATTTTAACGCCCTCTGGAGGGCGAAAATTAGGCACCTAGCATTTTCTGTTTTACTGAAATTTAATGCACAAATGCACATCGATTTTTGTTTATAAAGGGACACATTTGAAGCATATTTTTTAACACGCATCTTAAACCCCTTGGTGGGGACAATCACACCCTTAAAATTTTAAAGTGGGAAAAGTGAGGAGAAGAGCTAAATATTTTAAAGGGCAAACAACTTATTTTCCTATAGATTTTACTTAAACAATTAATCCGAAAACGGCTTTAGAAACATCAACGCTACAGTTTTGATATTATATGTATTGAAAAATTCACTTTGGTTATTAAAAGACCTAACAACTACAATAAGTACCTAGGTACTAAATTACTTATTTTATTAAAAACTTACGACTGAAAAGCCAATAAAAACTAGATCTACTATATCAAAACGAAATTTCTGATTTATCGTTTGTGTTTTTTGTTAAAATAAAAACAAGTAGTAAAGAAATAAAATAAAAACAAGTAGTAAAGAAATAAAATAAGAAAACAATTTAGGCAAATGTTCATTGCGGTTTCTTTACAATTTGGTTGCTTTTAAAATTATTTTAATTTTATTGTAAAAAAATGGTTTATTCCAGTCCAGAACGAATTGAAATTGTCAACATATACATATAGTATGTAAGTATTTCTTGACAAAAATTATTCTTATCTGGGACATATTTTTTTGTTTAATTTGTTTTTTTTAACAAGTGGTTTGTTGGTACAGTGACCATGGTAAACATAGGTACAGTGGTCACCACTAAATTATTTAAATAAGGAGTGGCCCCTGTATTTTAGTTAGAAAAATATTATTTGGCGCAAATTTGCTTACTGTTGTTTTCTTTTATTTTAGATTTTTCTAGAAAACTGCCTCGCAGAAAGAAAACAAACAGATTGGAAAAACTCCCTCAGAAACCATGGCCAATGCAATTTCCGATGTGGTTAATGGTGGGTTATCTGCTAAAGCTGCGGCTATTAAACACAATGTTCCACGTACTACATTAAGGCGTTATTTGCAAAAATGCAGGGAAAAGGAAGATGATATTAACTGGAACACACCATTTTTGGAAGGCGCACCAAAACTTACTCCTAACTACAGAGTGAATCAAATATTTGCACCTGAACAAGAGGACATTCTGAGTGAATATTTCCGAACCATGACGAAACTTCATCATGGTATGAACCCAAAATGTGCCCGAAAGTTAGCCTATGATTTGGCAGTAGCAAATGGAAAGAAAATTCCCTCCTCATGAACAGAAAATTGTACTGATGGAAGGTTATGGTTTAACGGCTTTATGAAAAGACGGAAAGAGCTGTCCATACGGTCAGCAGAAGCCACGTCTTTGGGAAGAGCAAAGCGGTTCAATAAATCAGTGGTGCAACTTTTTTTCAACAATCTCCGTCAAATTTATGAGAAATATAATTTGGGGCTTGAACAAGTTTTTAACGTCGATGCAACTTGTAAGGGGTTTTCTCGCCACAGAGAAAACGGTTCCTTACGAATGACGCTGGTTACTTGCGGCGGTTTTCGAGCGCCAGATTTTTGATGTTGGTTTACTCCACAAACTTTCGAAACGGCGAAGAAAGTACTCGGGTGGCTACAGATGGAGATGAAAAATTCCAGGGGTCAAAGGTCACTTAGACACAGGTAATAGTAGGCCACAAGTAACGGGCTTTAATCGTTGCTTGGGCTCGTACAGAATTTATCACTAGCTGAAATATAAAGGGGAAATAAAGTAGGTAATTATTAACCAGTAATACGGCAGGTTAACATTGACACATATACTGTGATTAACTATTAACAACAACAAAAAAAAGAAATTAAATATTTCAAC